CTGCTGCTGCTGCTGCGGCACCTGCTGCTGCTGCTGCTGCTGCCGCTACTAGTGTGTGCTGCTGCTGCTGCGTTGGCCACAGACCCCAAACCTGCCCCTGTGCGCACACGACAGCAGAAAGGTACAAATTAGCGCAGAATAAATTAATAATTGGGGAAAAAGAAGCGAAATATAAAAAGGTGCTGCAGCAGAAGCAGACACCCCGCAGGTGGCAGCAGCAGCAGCGGCCCCAGTGCAGCAGCAGCAGCGCAGCACAGCCTGCCTCTGCGACGCCAGCGCAGGGGCCAACAGGGGCCCCAGGGGGCCCCCCAGGGGCCCTCAAGCACAACTTACCTATAAACCGGGTAGAGGGGCCCCTCTGAAGCAGCAAAGGAGAAGGTATAAACAAATTAGAAATAAAAGAAGAAGAAATGGAGTGAGGTGGAGGAGCAGCAGACACAGCAGCAGGCCGCCGCGCTACTGCAGCAACGACGGCAGCGCAGCAGCTGAGGATGCCTCTCTTCATCTGGCAGCTCTTCCCAGAATTTAATTTGATTTTATTTCTTAAAAAACTAAATTAAACAAAACTAAACCCTAAACCCTTGCTGCAGTCCTGCTGCAGCGCCAGCTGCTGCAGCCTTGTTGGGGGCCCCCGCCAGGCCAGGGCCCCACACCCAGGGGCCCCCCTGCTCTGCTGCCTGTGCCTGTGGGGCCCCCCAGGGGCCCCTGTTTAGCCAGTTCTTTGTCGTTGCTGTCCCGGGGGCCCCCAGAGGGGCTTTCGGGGGCCCCTGGACCTGCAGGGGCCCCCAAGTCCTGCAGGGGGGCCCCTAGGGTGGGGGCCCCTAGACCCAGCATGATCCGCTGCAGCAGCTGCGCTCTCCCTTAGGGGGGCCCCCGCCCACCCACAGACCCCTGGGGCCCCCTACCCTTAATGGGGCCCCTGGGGGGTTCACTTCTGAGGTTTTGGGTGGCCCTTGGTGCTGCTGCAGTCCTCCCCTCAGATGTTTGTTCATCACAGCAGCAGCAGCAGCAGCAGCTGCCTCCACTCCCCTCCTTTCTGTCCCCAACTGCCCCACTCTGCACAGGGGGCCCCTCTCCCCCTTTGGGGGGCCCCTGGGGCCCCTCAAAGAGGTCTTGGGGGCCCCCAAGCGGGGGGCCCCCAACGCAGCAGCTCCTTTGGAGGAGCCCACTGGGGGGCTCCCCCGAGAGGGCCCCTTCAGGGGCCCCTGCTGGGGGCCCCTCAGGAGAGGGGGTCCCGGGGGGCCCCCACAGGGGGCCCCCAGCAGGGAAGCTAGGGGGGCCCCCAGGGGCCCTCCGGCCAGCTCTGCGCCCCTGGGACAATCTTGAGATATTTCCTTTAGAAGAAGAGGCCCCAGAGTTGGAGGCCCCTGCTGCTACAGTGCACGGGGCTGGGGGGCCCCTCCGGGGGGCCCCTGTACCCCTTGGGGGCCCCCCTAGGGCCCCCACAGCTCGGCTGCCTCGTGGAGAGTTCCGGTGAGTCACTTGCAGCAAAAGGCTCCCTTGGGGGGCCCCCATGGGGCCCCCCTCCGTATCCTGAGGGGCCCCCCTTGGGGGCCCCCCAAGGGGCCCCCTCTGGGCCCTTTAAGGGGCCCCTGTGTACCTTCTAAGGGGCCCCTGCGGGCCCTCAGGGGGCCCCGTGTAGGTACTTGAGGGCCCCCCTGCGAGTTCTTCTAGGGCTTCTAAGGCCCCCAGGGGGCCCCCACGGGCCCCCCAGGGGCCCCCCAGGGGTCCCCCAGGTACCCGAGGGGCCCCAAGGGGGCCCCAAAGTATCTTTTTGGGGTTTTGTTTGGGCGCAGGCCGAAGCAAAGTTTGGGTCAGAACTTTTTGGCGGACTCCAACATTTGTCGGCGAATAGTAAAGGCATTTAAAGCTGCTGTTGCTGCAGCAGACCTGCGCGAGCAGCAGCAGCAGCAGCAGCAGCAGCAGCAGCAAGGGGGGAGCCGCAGCAGCAGAGTGGTCGAGGTGGGCCCTGGGACGGGGGCCCTGACCCGTTTGCTGTACCCTCTTTTCCCTGACATGCTTGGTGAGGGGCCCCTCCTGCTGCTGCTGGGGGCCCCCCCTTTTTGCTGCTGGGGGCCCCCGGGGGCCCCCCCTCTTTGCTGCTGGGGCCCCCAGGGCCTCCGGGGGGCCCCCTGTGTGTGTTTGGGGGCCCTGGGGCCCCAGGGGGTCCCTTGTGCTGCTTCTGTTTGGTTTTTTCGGGCTGTGGGGGCCCCCCGCTGCTGCTGCTGCTGCTGTTGCTGTTGCTGCTGCTGCCAGGCCCACGTGTGTGCTGGAGTTTCATTCGTTTCTCTTTAGTCTCGTTTTCTTTTTTATTTTATGTTATTCTTTGTTTTATATGTTTTAAATTTAGTTTAATTTAATTTTATTTTATTTTTTGCAGCTGTGGAAATAGACCCCAGGGCCATTTCCCTCCTCAGCCAAAGGCTTCCGGGCCTCCAGATGCTGCACGAGGATGTCTTGCAGGTACTTTTAGGGTTTAGGGTTTAGGGTTTAGGGTTTAGCGCTTGGGAGAACTCCGAGGGTGTCACGAGACACTGGAGTCTTTCGGCTCGGCTGTTAGAGCGTGTCTGAGGGTCTAGGGCTAAGGGTTTAGGGTTTACGGTTTGGGGTTGAGGGTTTAGGGTTTGGGGTTTAGGGCTGAGGGTTTAGGGTTTAGGGTTTTAGGGTTTAGGGTTTGGACTCAGGTCAACTGGCCGTATCTTGCGCACCACATGAATCGTCTGCGCATTGTTGGCAATCTCCCCTTTTACCTCACGAGCCAAGTACTCCCCAAACCCTAAACCCTAAACCCTAAACCCTTGTTTGGTTCCTTCGGAGCGTGTCTGGAGTGGCGAGACCCCCAAATAGACAGGATTAGGGTTTAGGGTTTAGGGTTTAGGGTTTAGGGTTTAGGGTTTAGGGTTTACTTGAGAAGGGGCCTTCTTTGCTGCAGCTGCTCTTTTGCCTGCTGGACTGCCGCCAATATATCGACTTAGCTGTAGTGACACTCCAAAAGGAGGTGGCCGAGGTAAACCCAACATCTTCTTTAGGGGCCCCCAGGGGCCCCCAGGGGCCCCCAGGGGTCTTTGGGGGCACCCAGGGGCTTTCAAGGGCCTTTGGGGGCCTCCAGGTGCCCTTGGGGGCCCCCAGGGGCCCCCCGAAGCCCACAGGAGTCCTCAGGGGCCCCCGGGAGCCCCCTAGGGGCCCCCCAGGGGCTGTAGGGGCCCCCTGAGGGCCCCCCATGGGGCCCCCCAAGGGGCCTCTCCAGAGGCCCTCGCAGCACTGAATACTTACTGTTATTATTAATTATTATTTATTTTTTAGTTATTAATTATTATTCATTATTTATTGTTTATTATTTATTGTTTACTATTTATTATTTGTTTTGTTGTTTGCCCAGCGGCTGGTGGCAAAGCCCGGGGACTTCGCCTACTGCCGGCTGAGTGTGGCTTTTTGTCTTTTTGCAAAACCCTCGCTGCTGTTCTCCATACCCTCGAAGGCCTTTTACCCCCAGCCCAAGGCAAACCCTAAACCCTATACCCTAAACCCTAAACCCTAAACCCTAAGCCCTAAGCTGTAGGCTCTGCAGCGGCAGCAGCTCGGCAGCAGCTCGCGGCCCTGCTGCACTCTAGCCCGCGCTCTTCAGCACGCTTTAGGGTTCAGGGTTTAGGGTTTAGGGTTTAGGATTTAGGGTTTAGGGTTTAGGGTTTAGGGTTTGTGCGCAGGTGGAGTCTGCTGTGGTGCTCGTTGAGTTCCGCCACGAAAGCGACGAAGAAATTCTGGGGGGAGTTAGTGCAAGAGACCTCAAGAAGGTCCGTGAAGCAGCAGCAGCAGCTGCTGTTGCTGCTGCTGCTGCTGTGCTGCGCCTTGCGTTGTTGCTGCTGCACGTGCTGCGCGCCGTCTTGCTGTTACTGCTGCTGAGGCAGCCAGCGCTACTGCTGCTGCTGCTGCTGCACGAAGCGGCCCCGCTCAGCCGGTTAGCTGCTGCCGCGCATGCAATGGTGCTGCTGCTGCTGCTGCTGCCGCAGGTCCTGTTTGCTGCTTTTGGACAGCGACGAAAGATGCTGAGACAAAGCCTGAAGGTGAGCAGCTGCGCGGGCCTTTAGGGCCCCCCAGGGGCCCCTGCTGCTGCGGGGCCCCTGCTGCTGCTGCGGGGCACCTGCTGCTGCTGCGGGGCCCCTGCTGCTGCTGCGGGGGCCCC